GATAAAGCAGCACAGTTCTATGGAGGAATTTCTTGGAGTGGTTCTGATATGGCATGATTAAATGGAGTAGTCGCTACACTGTCACAAATCGGCTCTAACACCGCACAGCACGACTGACAATAAAGTTGGCTAAATACTCTGTGAACAGTATTTTGGGAGGAGAAGCACACCTTTCTTAGCTACAACACTGCATGTTAAATAAATCCAAATCTATCAAAAAAAGCACGTCTACTCTGTCATCATATCTAAGCAGGTTACTGGCAGACCAACTCAGCTGATATCCTTGCATGGAAGCTATGAAGTCTATTACTATTTTTTCCCTACCAAAATTCCAGTTTAGGATAAAATCAATCTCCTTTTATCAAATTGTACCCTATTTGTGGAAACAAGAATTTAAGAGAATCACAGAACAAGGTAAATGTAAAGAATACATTTAATACAAATTCCTAAGGCATACACAAGATTCCCAGCAGAATCTCAAACTTATTTCTCCAATCTCGGACACTTTTCAAAGCAATTATAATTATGAAATCATCAGTATTTACCCAAAGAATCTTTTGAGCAATTCTTTGCCTTCTACTATTTCTTTGGCATTTAATCTTTGCAACCCACACAAAGTCATTACCCATCATTTGTATTATACTCCTGCATTCCCTTAGCCTACCTTCATCAATATAGAACATCAGAAATAAGACCTGTGTCAAAATATGTATACAAACCACAGAACAAATAGAAAGGTTTTACATTCTTTTGGGTATTTTAATTATATCTACTGTCAGGATCTATCCTTCATACAAATTTATGAGCACATTCTTTGTAACAAGTTTATATATATATACATATATATATATATAGTCTCTGCAGGAACTTGTTATGAGCTGTTCCAGTCAGAGTACATGACAAGTGTCATTCTTTCAGCATACCCTATTTGCCTACCAATAATTTTTCACAAGAAAATCACAGGTCCCTTTTCATCACAGTATTAACATTTAGTATATGTTTGGACTCACGACTTGCAAGTTGCTTTTGTTTTTCTTAAATGTGAGATTATGATATTATTTGTGGAGTTCTTCACAGTGATGGCAGAGGAGAGTGCTTAAGAACTAGTCATACTTTTTCCTAAGTTTTTTTTTTTGCACAACCAATTCACTGCAAGATTCCAAATGGATGCTGCCAGCTTGTGCTTGCTCTGAAGTTTTCTAAAACTGAGACTAAAACTCCTCCAGCCATACTACGGATGTCCAAGCTTCATCCTCTCTGGGCTAGACACCAGTAATCGCATCCTAAATATGTTCATTCAGTTATTTCAGTCAGAATGAACCTCCAAAGACCTGCTGTTTACTGGATTTGAACTAGTTTCTTTTGCCTCTAGTACATAGTTACACAAGATGTTTCATCTGGCAGACCTGAGTGGTTAGCAAACCTTTTAAAGGGGACCAAGTGTTAAAGCAGGACTGGGTCCCATTCTTCCTTTAAGTTATCAGTAGACCACATGCCCACAGGGCAAATAGATTCAGCCTACAAAAGAATTATAGAGAAGTAAAACACTATGATAAATATACACAGCAGCATGCAGCTCTAGAGGGACAGAAGGAGATCAGCAGTCATTTTATTCTCAATATGGGAAAACATTAGTATGCTGAGGTACACTGACTGTATTGAACACAGAATTGCATTTTAAACACATCAGATGAAATTGTCAAGCCTACCAATAAAACATTTCAATCCTTTCAGAGGAAGGAAGTTGAGTTGTAAAACTGCAGATAGTTAAGTCTAAATTATTCAAATTTAAATGCATTTTGCAAGGATTGACTGCATTTACTTTCTGTGGACAATCTCAGCTTCTGTCAATTCAACTTGCATTCAAAATGCACCTTCATGTAAAATATATTGAGTATGAAGCATGTAATCTTAAGTAATTTAAGTTTTGTGAAGGTTGACTACATTAGTCATAAGCTGTCCCAAAACACTGAATTCGATTGATTTTTTCCTCCCTGAAACTGAACTACAATGTTACTGAAATGGAACATTTGAGACAAAAGTAGTCAAATTTTAAAAATGATTTCTGCCACCATTTTGCACTTTGTCTAAATGAAACCTTCCAAATATCCCACATGCAATGTCTGTAATACTGTTCTAAACTGAAAAGTTGAACTTCATTGAGGTTAAGTAGTAACTGTTTGTAAAGACAGTAATCACACATCTTCCAAACCAAACTGTGACTGTTCAAGGGAAATATGCCATTCATCCATTTTACCACACACATACAACATACTGCACAGGGTGACATCAGAAATATTATGACCAAAAAAAACTTAAATACATTAGGGCAACCAAAACCAATTCCATCAGTAATTTTAACTATTTCTATAGCAGATTTGAGTCCGCAGTACAATTAAATAGTAAGTTATGTGCCATCCATCACTGTTCATTTCCCACATTCCCCTCTGTGCATGTCTATAAGTCTATGCTGATTAAAGTGAATATTTGGTGAAATTCCTGCACCTAAGAGTTCAACCATCTAGCTGCACCAAACATAACTGTCATTTGTCACATTTATACAAGTTTTATAAGCTACTATAAAAATAAAAAAGCGAAGATGATTGAATGAATATAGAAATCGATGTTAAATTACCCACTTAATTTCTTTCCTTTTGTTAAAAAAAAGTTTTAGTGACAGCCACACCTAAAAAAAAAATAATCACCCGATATTCTTTACAGAGGTGGATTTAACACTGCATGATGCTGCCAGCTCAAAGTGATGAAAAAAACAAACCTCAACAAAGCCTGAATCTGTTTTCAAGCTTCATGTACCTCCTATGTCTTCTTATGAGCAGCTTTCCTCTATGGATAAAATTTCAGCCACTGCCTTTTACAAGCTTCAGGAATGGAATAAACTCGTTTTTCTTCTCTCTAGCTATGACTGTTGCAAGTCATCTCTCTCTATATAACATACTAGGACTTCTTTTGTTTTGGGTCATTTCCAGTTCTTTCCATTCAAAGTTTTATTTGAATCACTTTTAAAATACTTGGAAATCTATTGTGCAAGGCTTCAGTACATCTTGTATACAAGATCCTCCTGAGGAAACTATGCCAGCAGTACAAGCACCTTTTTTCTCTAGGTAACAGCTAGATTTTGTATTAACTTAAAGCACTGTACCAAGGCCAAAATTCGTGATGTGAACATCACATGTCAGTTCTCACAGGCTACTGCATTCACAACACTCCTGGCTGCATTACATACAATTGCCTTGAAATTCCTAGTTCTCACAATCATACCTTAATCTGTATTTAAAAAAAAGCAGCCTTTTAACATAAGCCATCACTCAGCTTTAAGTCTTCATTGCAAGAGGCCTTATTGCAATTTAATTTTCTATTCTTGTGTTTTATTCATTTTTTCATTATTACTTTCACTTGTAACACCAACATTTTCTGAAGTCACCAGTCGACATGGACTCAAAGCACTTGCTTTTCCAAGTTTCCAGTCAATCTTCAATTAATGTAGTAATTTAAATAAGCCTCAGCAAAATGTAACAGTTAGGAGTTCCTCAACATTTGAGACTAAAAGATGCCAGTTAAACCAGGCAAACCTGGAGCCTGGCACAGCTCTCAGTAAGGCCCAAATGGTCTGCTGCCATGCTATCATGGCTCTACTGCTCTGCCCCAGATGTGCAACTGCCACTGGGCACCAACCAAACATCTGTGCATGAACGTCTAGATTGAACACAGGGCATGGGGAGGGTTCAGCCCAGCATGAACTCACATGATAGCAAGTTTGTGGGTTTTGATATTAAGGCTGAACACAGCCCTGTGAACAGAAGAAAAGATGCAGCTGTGCTTTCCATTGTGATAAAGGAATTTGAGAATAGGTTTCAATACTGAAAAAAACCCACAATATTTTTTTGGGTCATTTGCGGCTTCATTTCAATCAACATAAATGCATCAATTGAAAGTTTTCAAATGCATAAAATGGCAAACCAAATCATGATCATGTCTCTTCAGCAGGTTTTTATAAGCCCTGTCTTACCAGAAAGATCCCTCACTTTCCAATTCCACACAGTTCCACTGCTTTTTGCCAGTACACACATTTCTAAACAGCTTTTTCAAGGATAAAACACAGAAAGAGTAGACCTTAATCCAAAGTTCGACAAGCACCTTGAGAACTCACTGTGAATTGAAACCACTGCCATCAGACAAGCTGTGTTTGTTACTTTCTGCAAAACAAGGTCACATATCCCTCTAGTTTAATGGCTTTGTTGCCCTGTTTTCTATGTTTAAAAAAAAAACATAAAAAGTATCATATTGTCACTTACATAGATTAGCTGTAGTATATATTTTATGAGGGCTACTCCAAAAGTAATGCATGCTATTTTATTTTATTGGAGCACAGCAGCAGAGGTGGATGTTAGCGGTATGGCAATAGATGTTGAACCTTCCCACCAATGCCCCCATTATATTTAGTTTCCATGCAAAAGATGGCAGCAGAGAGGAAGTCAGACAAAATGGCTTCTGACGTGGAAGTGTGTATGAAGAAAAGGTACATCATACGTCATTGAATTCCTCCATGCAGTAAAAATGGCACCCACTGACCTCCACTGATCATTTATAGAGACCAAACAATGGATACGATCAAAGTGAGGGATGAGTGGTGCATTTCAGCAGCAGTGACCATGGGTCATCTGCTCTAGTGTAGGTTATTACCAAAGTGCAGCACGCAGGTTCTTGCTCACGGCTACTGAAAAAGCATAGCTAATGGTGAAGACTGTTGCAAAAGAGTTTTGTAGTTCATAACTTGGTCTGTTAAATAGTGTTATTGTGCTCTTCATATCTGTTCCATGAAAATAGTGAGGCATTACTTTTGAAGTAACCTTTCAGGATAATGGCCCTAAACAATTCTCTTCACTGAATGCAGCCCAGGCAAGCCAAAAGCTTGAACTCACGTGACTGAAAGTGGTACTCCATTCTCACAGTGGAATTTATTAGATAGGCTTAAGACTTACCCGATTTGAAAGACTTCAGCAGCAGGAAACGCTTCCTTCGATCATGTTCTCAGTTACACAGGTAAACCATTTCCTCAAGTACATAAACGTCAGGCAGGCTCTAATTAAAGCAGTTATCCAGTCTAGCCATAAAGAAATTGCTCAGTAGCTGCCATTTCACATCTTCCAAATTATTCTCCTAAAACAAACACAGAAATGATCATTAAAAAACATTCCATTTTCAGGGTAGGGTCAATATAGAACAGACATTCACATCACTTTTCATCTATGACATTTCAGGACATGATTATAGTGCCATACTAGCAGCAGTAACAATCAACACATCTTGCCAACATACGCAATGTTGACTTCAAGTCTGAAATTATTCTCTTGTTCATCTTCAACTCTAGTTTAATTTTATCAATTAGGTTTTTGTAACTTACAGCCGTAATACATTTTCAATCACAAGCTTTTTACATGAATTTAAAAAACTTTTTTTTTTTTTTTTTTTTTTTTCAGTATTTTTAATTAATCTGTAGAGACTAGAGAAATGTTACAAGTGTTTTGATCCAATTTAAAAGCAGAGTACCCCCCCAAAGCTTTCCTTTTTGGAATGGGGTTGAAGAGAATGAGAGCAAGTGCTGAGTTTTCAGATTTTAAGTTTTGTAAGATAATCTGCTTGGCATCACCTGTGACTCAAAGTAGCCAGGTAAATTTTCCTTTCATTGATACCACTACTCTCAGTGTTATACACCAAGTAATGACAACTCTTCCTGTCCAATAACCTAACTTGCTGGTTGTCATACTGTTAAAGCTGCCTTGGCTATCACCTATAAAAATACATAAAATCAATGGGACGGATATTTCATTAAGAGATGCCAAAAGACAAAGCCAAAGCAAGTATTTTTTTCTGCCAAATATTTCGAACTTCAAGAGTGGAAAACTAAAGCAATGTAAAAGTAGGGATAAAATAAGACTACTGTATCTGTTACCCAAACCAAAATAAACATCATCAACAATATGTAATGCATTAAGTACAATATTTTCCTTCAACTTGAACTGTATTAAATACTGTTTTCTACTTTGACAGCAGCAGTGACTTGCCAAAACAGAAGAGCTTTTACTGTGCAATCCATAACAAACCTCAACCTGTTGGCAAATATCTTCCATTTTCCCTTTTTCTGAACCATTATTGTCAAATAACAGCATCTTCCCTTGCAGTTTATTAATGATTTGCAGTCCTTCTTAGGACTGAACATGAAGTTCTGTTTGTTGTTTTTCTTGTTTACTTTTGTTTTGTTTTATTGCTTTTACGTATTTTTATGTCTTTCCCCCCAGTCAATAGACAGAATTTTTTAAAAATCATTCAGAAAGTACAGGTACCAGAACTACAAGGATAGCTTCATCTTTTCAACACAATAAGCCACAGCAACTACGTGAATTGAAACTTGCATTCATTTAGCTTCTCATTAACTCATTTATCACTTACATTACAGAATTAGTGCTATCTTTCTCGCACTGCTCCCAGAAGTGGAAGCAATCTGAATAATCAGTCTTGAGGCAAGAGAGGGAAATTAATATCTTCCTTAAACACAGAATTATGCGTTGTTTAATAGCTTTTTTCTTAAAAAAATAAAAAATAAAAATTACGGAATGAAGAAATGAATTCATTTCTGACTTTTACATCTTAACTGCTTTTTATGCTGTCATTATATAAATTTCTTTTTTTGTGCACTTCAGTTTTATTATCTAACATAGTAATGCCCCAAAACATGACTTTGAGGGTGTAAAAAAAAAAAAAAACAAACACATTTTACAGAGATGAGAAAAAATACCACTCAGACCTTCACTACTTGCTGGGTTTCATCATTTGTTTGACTAAATTAGTTAAAATGTTACTGATTTTCTTTTATTTGTTTCTAATTTCATTCTGAATTTGCTTTTACTGCTTGAGGGTAGACAGATCACCTGCATTTATTTGCTTTTACTGCTTGAGGGTAGACAGATCACCTGCATTTCATATCATCAAGTGATATCATTGCATGCCATCAGCTAAACAAAGGGACATTTTTCCTTTATATTAATAATCAACAACCCACGTGCTTAATATCTCCATAGATTAATATGGCAAGTACTTCACGTGCAGAAGCAAATATGACAGCCAATTAGTTTTATTTTGTGGTGGTTTTTTTTTGTTGTTGATTTTTTGTTAAATTTATTATCTTTCACTAAAGTCATATCCCTTTTCTTCTGCCTCTATTGGAGATGCCAAGGAGCTGCAGTATTTTCTGACACTGATAGATGGAAATGCTCAGCACCACAGCCAGATGTCTATTAATCTTCTAGTTTTCCCAACTGCAGATTTTTATGGTTTTCATTTTTGCACTGCTCATTCCTATTCATAGTTTAATGATCTATTTCCTTTAATTCCTAGAGTTAAGGTTCAATAAGCTCATTTTCTCTTCAAACTTGACCCAAGATTCTTTAAGATTCTCAAGATTTTCCTACATTCTTACTAAATAATAATTGTAGTTTCAATAGAAGATACTTTAATATCTAGATCTATAAATAATAGCAGGAAGAAGAGCATTTTAAAGGCAGTTCAACACAACCTGGCCACAAACTGAAAAACCCAATTTCTTCTCCAAGCGCACTGCTCAGCCCCCAGGACCATCTTCTGTTCCCTCAGAGCTGGAAAACAAATGCGAGCTCCCTGAAGGGTTGTTGTACCTGATTTGCCCCTCCAAATAGTCTACAACTTCTGGTAATGCATCTCTTGACCAAGGAAAATCTGCAATGCAGCTCTTGTACACTCCAAGTGCTACCTCTGATTAATGTGTGGAACCACTTTTTTTACATACATTCCCATTTGACTTTACAAAATCACAGAGTTGCAGAATCCTTACAGTTGGAAGGGACCTTTAAAAAGGCCATCTAGTCCAGCTGCCCCGCAATAAACATGGACACCACAGCTAGATTTAGTTGCCCAGGGCCTTATCCAGCCTGGCCCTGTAAGCCTCCAGGGACAGGGCACCAACCACATCTCTGGGTAACCTCTTCCAGTGCCTCATCACTTTCACTGCATAAGAATTGTTTATATCTAACTTAAATCCACCTTCTTTAAGCTTGAAAAGAGATCACGTAAATCTATTACAGTCTGGCTCGGGCAAATGAGAAGGATGAAAGGCATGTTGAAATTACTGATTCTTGGCAGCCCCTACCTGGTCTCAACTTTATTAGTTATATTTATGATGGCAATGATCTTAAGTTCATACAAGCTACTGAAAGTACTATACCTAAGATGACCCTACCCTGAAAAGACTTGCAGTCTAAGCTGACATGGCATATACTGTGAGTTCCTTCATTCCCCTTAATTATTTATAAAGAGAGTGAGTGGAAAAGCAACAGATGAAAATTTGAGGTAGATTTTGGAAATCAAGAGAAAAACAGAAGGTAAAAAATTACCAGACAAAAGGAGTGTTACCTTTTCTTTTGAATGGACAAAAGACAACAAACAATTCAGATGTGAAGAGACACAGGAAAGAACATTTACAAGTAGCAATAGATAAAGTTTCATTAAAAGCATGGGAGTTTTAACTCCACTCTCAATTCGTGCTCCAACTCATCCTACACCTCCAATGATAGTCATAGGATATGTCTAGAAGATAATCTTCTTTGTAAAAATCTTCCTCTGTGCCATCTATCCTTTCTAAGGACAGATGTAGTAACAGATATTGGTTTTTTCCAGTACTAAACAAGTTAAGCTAGCAGTGAAAATATCACCTTTGAGTATTCAACATTTCCCAAGGACCTTATTATTAAGATAATAAAGGAGGAAGCATTTGAAAATGGCATAAGCAGTTTTAAAGACTGGAGAATCATACAGATGAATGCTGAAATGGATTTAGTGGGGCATGAAACCACCAGCTCCAAATGGGAACATCCTGATCACATCATGTTCAGAAAGCATCAAATTAGAAGTGGGTGAGATTAGAGCAATTGATAGCAGCATTTTCAAAGTTTAAATCCAATTTTTCTACACATGAAGCAGTACTAAACTAGGAGTAAAATTAAGTCATGGTAGAATGAGATTGTGTGTAAAGGAATGTTAGAGCTAGTGCTTTTAAACAAATTGTTTTTAAAAAGCTAAGCAATGCAAAATTAAGGAAGTTAAACACATCCAAATACACTTGAAGAATATAATTAACCTTGTTACAATGGTTAACACAACACAAAGCAATTATGAAAGACCCAGATACTTGAGTCTCTGCACTTGCTTTCAGGCTTTGTATCAATACCTGATGCATAGTAATGATGTAGTGCTAAAACTAAGGTTTGAAAGTTTTACAATGATTTTGATTCATAAGTAAATCCAGTTTGCTCTAAGCATTATAAACAACTATTCAAGTATTTTCCTTACTAGAAAATATTCCAGATATTCACTGTATTTTAATAGCAGATTCATAGATCCGTATACAGAATCTAATGCAAGATTAATTTACCAGGTACTTGTTCAATTTGCACTTCAGTTCCTCTGTGTTAGTTTACTTGGACAGCAAAGCACACTCCACACCAAAAAACGTCCTTTCTAGACAATGCTTTTGTACCAGAGCACGATAAACTATTTTCTCCCAGAACGCTTCTCTTACCTATTCCCTTCCCCTAGCTCTCCCAGCAGTGACCAGTCAACAGCCTTCAATCCTCAAGACATGACCACGTGGGTACAGATCTTCCCTGACACAGGACTGTTCCTCTAATATCTGAACTGAAAGAAATAGTATTTCACCTTACTTCCTAAAATTAAATCCAGTAATTGTCTGTACTGGAAATGCAGAGTCACAACTTAAACAGGTGTTTGAGCACCAGCTGAGAAGGAAGGGCCAACCCAGGAGAACTCAGATGCATGCAATGCACTGAGCAACCAGAAGGGCTGGAGCCAGGATCCACCCCTTCCCTGATCTCATGTAACAGCTGGCAGTGGAGGTGTAAGTGTATCTTCTGGAGACCTCTGCCTACTGAAGGACCATAAGAGCCTTCCTAAGGTAAGCAGATCCTTTCCCTGTTTCTGCACCTACTGCTACTACATCTGAGCAGACTATCTCTAAGGTACTTTGCTACTCCTTCCAACTCATAACACTATTCTAAATCAGAAATTCCCTTCCAGCCCCAAACGATGTTAGTTAATTGTGAAGAATTCCT